AACAGGTTGGGTTAGCCAAGCCTGTGGACACTTAAGTGGATGTAGCCAACCACCAGGAAGTTAAATATGTGAATCAGGGCCACAGAAATATGTTCTAAGCTGGAACTGTCAATTTCGGGGCCATCAACATATTAGAAGCTAGAGCCTGGGTACACCCATTAAGTGAAAGAAGATGAGGGTGGAGGGAATATATCAGCTACCTATTCTTGTATAATAAACCATTCCTAATCCTAGTGGCTAAAAACAATGATTTATTATTTTTCATGTTTCCATAGACTGGGTAGATCTTCTGGTTTTACCTGGCTCACTCACGTAGCCACATGCAGCTAAACACTGAGCTGGAGGGTCTAAGATGGTCTCACGCATCTGGCAGTTGGTGCCAGCTGTCAGCAGGGGGCTGGGTTCAACTGCAACAACTAGAACACTTGGACCTCTCTCTCCATGTGGTCTTTCATCTGGTCTTCTATACCGCATCATGGTTTCAGGGCAGCATTTAAGTGAGTAGTCCCAATTGGCAGGACTTAGCAAGCACATTTGCTAATACCTCACTGGCCAAAGAAAATCACATGACCAAAGTCAATGTGAGATGCCTTACCAGCAGGCATGATTCATTAGCAGCTATTACTGCAAAAATATACTACAGAAAGGAACACCAGAACTTCCGGTCAACATGGAGGTGCAGGTAGACACATTTCACCTCCTCACACAACCGTAAAAAGAATTACAACCAGATCTCAAAAACAAATAACACCCAGAACCACCAGAAAACCAAGCTGTATGGAAGTCCAACAACCAAGGATTTAAAGAAGCCACATTCATCCAGGTGGGTAGGAGTGACGGAGTCACAGAGACGGGGCAGACAGGCACTGTGGCATGGAGAGGCAGCTGCAGCAGCGGCAGAATGAATGGTCCCACATTCATATGTGGTAGATTAAAATCAAGAGGGATACCTTGGGAACCAGAAATCCCAGCCCTAGGCAGACAGTACAAGGAAGATAAACCCCCATTACCTCTGGCTGTAAAAACCAGTTGGGGTTTGATGGCAGAGGAAACTGCCAGGTTTTCACTGCTTAAAGGGCACACATGGGCTGAGAACATACGAAACCCCAGAGCAGCAGCTGGAAGGGTGTCAATCACATAGAGAAAGCGGGTGAGGTGACTGAAAGCAGGGCAAGTGCTGGGCAGGCCTCCATAGGACAGACAGCAGCACTGTCCCCTCTCCGAACACCGCCCCCTCACCACACACACAGAGCCACAAAGCAGTGAAGTAGGTTGCCCCGCCCTGGCAATTACCTAAGGCTCAGTCCCACACAACTTACAGGTGACTTTTTTCTACATAGGTTGCACTACTAAGACAGAAAGTAAAAGTAGCTCTCCCTAATACACAGAAACAAACACAGAGAGGTTGCCAAACTGAGGAGACAAACAAATATGGTCCAAATGAAAGAACAGAACAAAAACCTCAGGAAAAAAACTAACAAAATGGAGGCAGCCAACCTAGCAGATGAAGAGTTCAAAACACTGGTGATCAGGATGCTAAGAGAACTCATAAATAGGGCCAATAAATAGAGAAAGAAGTGAGAGACACATTAAGTGAAATAAAGAAAAACCTACAGTAACCAACAGTGAAGAGAAGGAAGCTGGGATTCAAATCAACAATTTGGAAAAAAGTGAAGAAGTAAACATTCACCCAGAACAGAAAGAAGAAACAGAATTCAAAAACATGAGGAAAGGCTTAGGAACCTCTGGGACAACTTTAAGTGTATGAACATCCAAATCATGGGGGTGCCAGAAGGACAAGAGGAAGAGCAAGATATTGAAAATGTATTTGAAAAAATAATGAAAGAAACCTTCCCTAATTTGGCGAAGGAAATAGACATGCAAGTTCAGGAAGTACGGAGAGTCCCAAATAAGTTGGACCCAGAGAGAAACACACCAAAACACATCATAATTAAAATGCCAAAGGTTAAAGACACCAAGAGAAAATCGGAAAAGCAGCAAGAGAAGAGAGTAACTACAAAGGAGTCCCCATAAGACTGTCCCCTGATTTCTCAAAAGAAATTTTGCAGGCAAGAAGGGACTGGCAAGGAGTATTCAAAGTGATGAAAAGCAAGGACCTACAAGCAAGATTTCTCTATCTAGCAAAGCTGTCATTTAGGGTGGAAAGGCAGATAAAGTGCTTCCCAGACAAGGTAAAACTAAAGGAGTTCATCATCACCAAGCCATTGTTATATGAAATGTTAAAGGGATTTATTAAGAAAAGGAAGAAGATCAAAACCATGAACATTAAAATGACAACAAACTCACAACTATCAGCAACTGAATCTAAAAAACAAACTAAGCAAACAAGCAGAGGAGGAACAGAATCATAGATATGGAGATCATTTGGAGGGTTATCAGCTAGGAGGGGGAAGAGGGAGAAAGGAGGAAAAGGCGCAGGGATTAAGAAGCATAATGGTAGGTATAAAATAGACAGAGGGATGCTAGGAATAGTATAGGAATTGGAGAAGCCAAAGAACTTATATGCATGACTCATGGACATGAACTAAGGGGGGTATTGCTAGAGGGAAGGGGGTACTGGGTAGAGGGGAGCAGTGGGGGAAAAATTTGAACTGTAATAGCATAATCAGTAAAATATATAAAATAAATACATACATAAATTAAAAAATTGTATAGTATATACATTATACATCAATAAAGTTGTTTAAAATTTTCTTAAAAAGAAAGGAACACTAGGTGATCCTCCACTCATTTTATAGTTGGGCAGACAGAAACCCGGAAGAATCAGAGAAGGACCAGGAGAGCACAGTGCTAAGGAATCAAGAAGGCAGTGAACTCCACTGGGAAAGTGCCTAGCCAGAGCTTTCATGACCTTGAGAACTAATGTCTCATCCTAGTCCCAACCTGAAACTGTCCACTGGATTTGGCAATATAAGGCCAGTTTCTTTAACATCCCAATATTAATTTCAGTAGTCAGTTTTACGGAAATCTTAAGCACCAAATGCAACTCCAAATACAAAAGCCATTGTACAAATCAAATGGAAAGCCCACAGTATTTTCAAATGGTTTTTGACCAAGACCCACGGTAAGGAACACCTTCAGGGGTGTCCAACCCATGGTCCATGGGCCACAAGTGGCCCAAGATGGCTATGAATGCAGCCCAACACAAAATCGTAAATTTACTGAAAACATTATGAGATTTTTTGTTTGTTTTTTTTAGTTGGTGTTTGTGTATTTAATGTGTGGCCCAAGACAATTCTTCTTCCAGTGTAGCCCAGAGATGGCAAAAGTTTGGACACCCCTGCATGCAGGCACCAAATCAAGATCCGGTGCACACATGCACACAGGTACACACACAGGGAAAATGAAAGTCTCCCGAAACACAGGAAAGATAATAGCAACTTACCCTGACTATGTGCAAAGCTCTATGCCATTCCTTACCAATTGTTTTTTTAATGCTAGTTCTGCCTTGCTATTAATTTCACCATGCGCTCATAGGTCATGGCCTACAGACTGAAAAATACCGGCGTGGCCATCCAGAGACAGCTTTGTTTGGTTTCACCTGCAGACTGTCTATTTAAAAATTGAGTTTTATGCCTTCAGGCAGGCCTCCCTTCTCCTGTACCATTTCCAACTGTCTGATACTCAGCTGCTTCACACATTTACGTTACTTGCCTGGCCCTGAGTGCATTACTTTTGGGGCCTTCTAGATCTCTAGATTCTAAAGGAATAGGTATATGCATTTATGCATCCCATAAATATTAAATGCATGTCTCACACATGCCAGTCACATTGCAGGAACCAGGAATACAGCAGGGAACAGAAAAAATCACTGCCTCAATGGAGTTGAGATTCTAGAAGAGGGAGACAGAAAACCAAAGAAAAGTAAGAATATTCTTTATTAGAGGGTAATACATTCTCTAATGACAAAACAGTAAGGGGATTGGCGTGTTCGAAGATCAGCATGCAGGCTTCACACCCTTTTGTGGAAATGAGGGAACCTAATACGTTCCTACCTAATAGAGAAGGGGTGAGAAAGAGTGTGAAGGAGCACAGCCAGAACGTCCTCAAAAAGAGAGTTCCCAGCCTGCCCATCCCATCTCCAAATTATTCTACCAAATGGCAAAGCACTAGTAACTTTAATGCAGAAAATTTCAAAACCGGTCAGCCATTAAGGGGAACCACTGAGGGATACGGTCACTGACGCACAGGCCCTGAGGTGGGAAGCCTTGCGAATGTATTTCACACTTTCCCCCAACTCTGCCTTCAAAGTCACCATCACCCCCTCTCCTGCGGGATAAATGGCCCCCTCATTAGCTCTGCACACAGAACCCCTCTCGACCAGATTCCTGGTGACTGCGCCTGCCTTATCTCTGACTTTCCTCCCTCACATTTTCCGCTCCAGCAAAGCCAAACACAACACGGTGGAGGCTTTCACGCTTCTGTGCCTTTGGACACGCTGTTCCTACTGCCTGGAAGGCCCCTGGCCTGGATCCCCGCGCGCCCCCGCCCCCCTCCTCGGCGAGCTCCCATTCATCCTTCAGAACCCAGCCTGCAAGTCCCCTCTTCCAAGAAAAACCCTTAAACTTCTCGGCCCCATCTCTGTCCCCAGCACCCCTCTTGTTTTGCTTCTCTGCACTGTAATTAACGGTTTCTCCACATCTCTCCCCTCCCAGACTCGGGCCTCCTCCAGCGCTGGAGCTGCGTTGGATACTAGCTTTGACCCCAATGCGACCAGTTCTGAGCGCTGAATGACAGAGCTTGCACCTAGGCTCAGGCTGGCTCGAAAGCCCCCATTTCTCCCCTCCGCCTACCCGATGGTCCCGCGGGGGCCCGCACTCGTGCATTTCCCGAGCACCAGGCTGACCCCTCGCTCGGCCGCCCATCCCCTGACATCAGCAGCGGGCAGAGCCGGGCAGAGCGCGACTACAAGTCCCGGCACGCCCCGCCGCCGCCGCGCATGCCCAGCGGGCCGGCGTTTGAGTGGCAAGTTGTTTGTTACAGCGAACACCAGCTGCTCTCCGCGCCGGGCGCCGTGCGCCGCCGCTCCGCCAGCGCTGCCGCCCTCGTCCGCCGCCAGCAGCTCGCCGCCCGTGGCCCCTCGCGGCTTGGCGGGCCTCTCCTTTGTCCGCCCGGGCCCGCCCGCCGCCGAGGTCCCGGTCCCCGGGCCGGCTGCCCGCGGCGCTCGGTGCCGGCAGGGCGCGCAGGGGGCGGGGGCCGCGGCTCGCCCCCCGCGGATGAGCAGCCGCGGAGCGCGGGCGGACGATGGAACTCCACATCCTAGAGCACCGGCTGCAAGTTGCCAGCGTCGCCAAGGAGAGTATCCCGCTCTTCACCTACGGCCTGATCAAACTTGCCTTCCTGTCTTCCAAGACCAGGTGAGCGCGCGGGGACGCGGCGCCGGCCGGGGAGAGACAAAGAGGCGCACCCGGGCGGCTCTCCTCGCCGCCGCCGCTCGGAAAACAACTTCCAGCCCCGGGGAGCGCCCCCGCCCCCCAGCTCGCCTTGCTTTTGACAAAGGCACCCAATCTGCTTCAAACGGGGTCCTTTCACCCTGACCCCCTAAAATGCACCCCCGCCTCTGTCTTCCCCCATCTCAGCCCCCTCCTTGTCCGCCCCTCCCCGAGATCCGGAGGGCCAGGGAGGCTGCAATGACGAATCCGTGAATGAATGAACGAACGAATGAATGAATGAAAAACAGGTGTGGGGACGCGGCAGTGGAAAAAACAAACTACCACCCTCCCCATCCCCCAATCCCTCGGTTGGGCCGGCCCCCGTCCAGGGCCGGGAGGGTGGCAGGGGGGAGGGATTCTGCTGAGTGCGGCGGGTAGCATGAAATCATTAGTGGGTGTTTATCTCAAGGTGCTGCGGCGGTTGCTGACGTTGTGGGGGGCTGGGGGAGGGCAGGAGAGGGGCCGCGGGTGACGGTCGCGGTGGTTCTTAATCCTCGGGGTCCGGGAAGGTGGGAGGGGGGTGTTTTGCCGAACCGTGGAAGGGGGAGGAGCAGGCGTGTTTATGGCTCTGCCTTGAGGCTGGGCTTGGATGCTGCAGGAGGAAAAATAGTTGAAGGCCTTGGGAGGTTGAAGAAAAACAAGTTGGATTTTCCTAGTGCCAGGTCAGGTCTGACTTTGTGAGCCCTGGTGGGTGCTTGGATTAGGGTGTTTTGTTTTGTTTTTTAAGGAGCCGGAGCCCAGTGGAGTGTGAGTACCAGCTGAGCTAGCCTCTGTAACTTAAATCCCTTGTTTGCCCACCATTGTGACTGTTCAAAGGGATGAAGTTGTTGCTGGTTGGGTTTTCAGAGGCTGAGGTGGAGTTGGTTCTCCCTCGCTGCAAATGAATGAATAAATTACAGGTCAAGGTTAATGTTAAAATGACGACCCCTAAGTAGCCCCCTTGGGCGCTGAGCTCAGGGGAGCTCCAGGATGCAGGGAAATAATTCAATGCGAGCCTCTTATCTGGCTGGTAAAGTTCTTGCCTGGAAATCTCACTTTGATGTTTGTGTCTGAGCGGAGAGCTCAGTCCCGCCATTGTTTGCAAGATGGAACGAGATCTGCCAGTGGCATCTTGTTTACTTTCTTCTCAGGCTGCCCGATGGGGTCTGAAGGGTTGAAATCCTTGTCTTTGCTGGGTCCTGACTCCTTTGATTGCAAAGGTAATTATTAAACAGGTTATTTAAAAGCAAAAGCCCACAGCTCAGATTCTGAATCTCCCCTTCCCTCCACCTACCCGCCCCCCCCCCCCCCCCCCCCCGCTGTTGACACCCACCATCCTGCACCTACCTGCCCTCTGTCCCCCACCCCCTACCGTATCTTGAGTTCCAAGGCTGGAGTAAGAGAAAGCAGCCTTGTTTTTCCAACCCTTGGCCCTCAGCCCCAGGCAGCCCCCTGGCTGATTTCTCGGCTACCATTCAAACTGGGATGATGACTCAGGCTGCGGCTGTTCTGGCCTGGGTGCTTGGAGGAGGGGGCATTGGAGGGCTTCTTAGAAAGGCCCAAAAAGGGCCAATCCCTCTGCCCCTTTCCATTTGTGGAGGGTCTGACCCTCTTCCAGCCCCACCCCAGGGTCCAGTTTGGAAGACTCAGAGACAGGCATGTCCTGTGCATGAGCGCCTGCCCACCTGTCTAACCATGGAAAACCTACCCTTCACTGGGTCCTGCTTCTCCCTCTCCTGCAGCGGGCAGCTGGTCTGAGGCCCAGGTGACCAGTGCAGTCTCAAGATGACTCAGAGGTCAAAGGTCATCTCCAAGTCTCTAGGGTCTGGCTCAAAAAGATGCTGAGTTCATTTGTCAAATGGCTGAAAGCTGCCTCCTGGCACTCCTGGCCAGGACAGTGGCTTCAGGTTCTGACTAGCCCCCTCGATGCCTGCTTGACAGTGGCAAGGTCCCATTCCTTCCCTGGCTCTCACTTTGTTTGTCTGTGATAAAGACAGCACCACTTGGACAGCAAGTTTTCAGGGAGCTGCTGTGTGTAGCATGGGGTCGTTGTGGAAATGGGCTTTCTATCAAGTATAAAGTGTAGTGGAGTGTGGATATATTGTTTAAGCTATTCTGAATGATTGGTCACCCAGGTAGACTTTTGGTTCTCTTTGATTTTTCCATCAGTACCTACCCCCTAGTGGTGGCCCACAGCCCAGTCATTTTCCTCACCCCGCCCCCAACCTAAATTCTGAGCAAACTAGTACAGCATCCTCCCCCTAGGGTCTCTCTGCAGCCTGTTTACAAGTTTTCAGTCCCTCTCTGTAGGGAAGACTCCTTGCATGGTGTTTAAGGCCTTTCCAGATCTGGATCCAGAATCCTTCTCTTTAGCCACTCTCTGGCAAACACTCTGGTGACTCACAATTTTATCCTTCGCTTCACATCTCTGTGTTTTGGTGCTTCCATCTCAGCCTGGAACCCCCTTCCCCAGTAAATTCCTATCCAGCCCTCAAGATCTGGTAGTATCACTATGAAACTTTCCTGAAACCCCCTTCCCTCCACCCCAGCAGACTTACTCACTTTGTCCCTCTGGTGCCTACCTGGTGGAGGCTTGGGGAGGAATATGGCATTGGTAGATACTCACTCTGTGGAGGTGCAGCTGGGTCCAAAAGATGCCCCTTCCTCTTGGAAACCCAGAGCCTGGTAGGGGAAAAGGACAGAAGTACTCACAATACAGTAGGTGGAGTCAGGAAGGGCTGGGGGGGGGGGTGTCAACTGGGGTGGAGGGAGTGTGGGGGACTGCCTGAGGGAAGCATGTAGACTTCCTGCAGGAGGTGGCACTGGATCTTAGGGCTTTAAAATAGGAATTAGCTAGGTGAGAAAAGGGATCCTGGTCCCTGATTCTGCATATACCCTGGTACAATCCTTTGAATTAGGTTTTGCACCTGTTTTGCAAAGGACTCTGAGACTCAAAGGTTAAGTGACTTGTTCAAGGTCACACAGTAAGCAGTAGAGCCAGGACTTGAATCTGCCTCTTTCTGGTATAAGCTCAGGGGTTTGCTATTACAGGTTGCAAATGATGCCCATATGCAACAGTTATGACCAGCCCTTCTATTTGCAACGTACTGTTCTAAAGGCTTTAAGAGCACAGAGTGGCACCCGCAGGCTTTCTATTATCCCTTCTGCCCCGCCTTTGTGGCCTTTGTCTTCCAACAGGAATGTTTGTCCCTCATCACCCCCCATCTAGACTTTCTACTTTCTGATGGCCCAGCTCAGATGCTCCCTCTGTTTAATCTTTCATCACTTCTCAACTTTTGTCTGTAACAGCATGTTGTTTGCTTGTCTTATTCTCCCACCTAGATTATAAACTTTATGCTCCAGAAGCATTTTGTGCATCTTTTTATCCACTCTCCTCTGCACACCCCACCCCACCCCCCGCCCCCAAGTACCAGAGATAACAGTACCGTCATTGATTTCACCATCTGTCATTAACAGGTAAAGACTCTGGGTTTGGAGAAGTAAAGTGCCTTGCTCAAGGTCACACCACTGGGAAGAAACAAAATTGGGATTTGAACCAGGTCCTCTCTCTACTGTTCTTAGCACAGTGCTTTGTAGGCACTTAGTAACTGCCTATTTGATGGATGTTCCACTCGGGCACAGAGTGACCCAGATTTCAGCTGGAGTCTCTTATGAGTGCCCTTGGGGGCTGGAAGAAGCATGGCAGGCAGATCATACCTGGAGAAGCAAGGCCCAGGGCCCCAGCCTGGCTCTTTGCCCCAACTCAGGGCAGCATTTGGGTACGGTCAGAATAGGGGGTAGAGGCCATCTCAGTGCACTTATTCTAGGCACAAAGCTGGAAGGCAAGACCCTCAGTGAGCAAAACCAAGGCTGTCCACAGAGCTTCCCCCTGACCCTTGTGATCAACTGAGGTTCTGTAACCTGGCTGAAGACCCACTGTAGCCCAACCCACCCTTCTCCATAGCCTCACCTATATTGGCTCACAACCGTAGACCCAGACTCCCACAGTCACACACACACACATACACACACACGCACACACACACACACGCACGCTGTGGTGTCTCTAGCCTCATGCCTTTGTTCTGTCTGCCTCAAATGTTGCTCTTTGCCCTACGCTCTTTGTCCACCTACTCATTCTTTTAGATACCATTTTAGCCCCACCACCTCCAGGAAGTCCTCTCTGAGTGCACAGCTGAGCTCAGATGCACTGATATGATGGGCTTAATCTCAAGAAGATGAAATGTGACCCACTGTGGAATATCAGCAGGACACCTTGGGCTACAAATAATGAAAAGCCGTTACTTAGCTGGCCTACACAGTAAGAAGTTTGAACTTTGCATGATTGGTTATAAATCGGGCTGCTCTAGGGTTGGTAATTTAAAGGCTTGATGATGTCATCAAGGACCCCAGTCTTCCTGTCTTTGTATTTGGCCATCCTCGGCTTACTGGTGTCGTTCCCTGTGGAACAGCAAGGGTAACTCTGGGCCTTACGGGCAGGAGGAAGCCTAGTGGAGGGATAGGGTTGTTGTCTCAAGGTATCTCTGAGAAATCCTTTCCAGGAACATGCCCCGCTCCCGCACACACTTCCTCATGTCATTAATCAGACTGGGTCACATGAGCATGCCTGCACCAATCACGGGCACATAGATGGAGTGAGACCATCACGGACCAGTCAGAGTTCACCACTGCAGCAGGGGCTTGTGGCCACCGGGAGGTGGAGGCTAATGCCACCCTTCTGGGACTTGGATTTGTGCTCTGCAGCCCTGTAAGGCAAAACTGGGAACACTTATTAAGTATACAGTGAAAGCATTGATGACAACTCCATGTTGGCCAGATTGTCCTCCTTTTACAGATGAGGACACCGAGGAACTTGAGTGCCCCAGGACACACACAAGTGGCAGAGCTGGAATTCAAATCCAGGAAGTCTGGTTGTAGAACCTATC